GCTGGAGGCAGCTGTTGTAGAGGACTGCTGCCTATTTAGTCTATGGCCGAATCTTCGAATCCGATTCAGCCAAATTGAATTGGGGCAGTGGCCTGAATCACCGAATCAGCCAAATCCAAATCCAAATCAAATACTTGCTGCTTTGCACAGGCCTAGCTCTTCCTTATTTTAAACTTTTGGTCAGTGGAATCAGTTAATATAAAAATTTAACTATAAAACAGCTACCCCCCTAGTTACTGAAGTTAGGCCAACCAAATTTTGCTGATAAAATATGTAAGCAGGGACATCATTAACATTTAGCTCTTTTCTGATATCCAAAGCAGCCAAAGTCTCATGAAACCAGCAAAACATGCCAGTCTAGAGTGCAGTATTATATTACTACACTACCAGATAGTAAAAAGAAAACCAGGCAAAAAAATTGTGACAATCTTCCCTCCAATTCCCTGTAAATACAAGACTCTTCCAACTGAACAATCTGAGCATTCCCTTCCATATAAGCTATAGTGAAAAAAAGCGCAAAAAAAAAAATTTAAAGGAGAGCTCCTACTTAACATTCCAAAAATATTGTACCATGTCAAGATTTACACACTGTACAATTTGCAAAAAAATATTCACAAGACAGACACATTTGAAAATGTAAAAGCTCTTACTCTTCCTTAAGTGCACCCTTCTTATTAGGTTCCTCTACAAATGCTTCAGTTTCTTGCTCTTCTGACATCCCATGCAGGTATGGATTTAATGGTGGCGGCCTCCAAAATGATCCATTTTTGAACATACGAAAATCTTCCGTCCTCCATTTGGTTGGAGCATCTCCCTAAGAAAAGCAAAAATATATCATATTTGGTGTTTCTGAATTTCATATGTAAAACTGTGAACCGCCACTAAAATGTTACTTGCCTGTAGAATTGAATAAAGCTTCCATCTGTAGTAAACATGGGCTGGAGTTTGGTTTTCAAATAAAAACCTAAGCCAAAGATGGAGAGAAAAAATAAAGTACGTTATGAAGTATTTAAATGAAGTGAAACCCAATAGGAAATGTATCGTCTAAAGCAGAGGTATCAAACATACAACCTGTGGAGAAGGGTTATCCAGGCCCACAGGATTTCTTGTGGCCTGGACGACCCACCTCTGTACAGCATATTCAGTATGTGGTGCTCATCACCACGGCTGATGGAGCCTCTGCGACCGTGGCAATCCCTGCAGGTGCCAGAGCTGCCATTTCCAGAACCAAGGGACTTAATGATACTTGTCTACCTTCACCCTTTACCTGCTGCCAAAAACTCAGTGTTTCTAGTCACCCCTGGTGACTAAGACTGGTAGCAGGGCAAAGGGGGTGAGTGGCAAAGGTGTTAATTTCTTGGGTTCCAGAGTTGCACTGCAAACAGCAACTCTGGGTGCCGGGGGATTAATTAGGCTACTGCTCATGGGTCACTTGATCTGTGGGAAGCCTGAGGACCTGAATCTGTCCCACAGAAAACCAGTTTAGATTTGGCCCACAAGTTTGACACCCCTAATCTAAAGCTACTGATTCTTTTCAGACGCAACTCCTGCCTATGCACGTGAGCAACATAGTACATCTATCCCACATTCTTGTCATTTCTTGAAAGCCTACTCCACTCCTAAACAGGTCCTGACCATCCCAGCCACACCTGGAAAAGCAACAGTATGAAGCTGCTGCATAGTTATTCCCTACTACGGTCACTCTCAAGACTCCAGCCTCTGCTAAGAGCTGCCTCCTATGAGGGACTGTCCCCCAGAGCAGTCCGCTGCGATGTGTCCCTGCTTAGAAGAAGGGAGAGGAAGGAAAGCAGTGGGCACGCTTGGGAGCACCTCTGCTAGAACACACTGAGAACACAGTAATAGACGTACACCAAGTCAGCAAAAGTGAAATGACTGTCATCCACAACATTAGTACAGCTGGTAAGAAACAGGTGAAGGAAACACAACATACAGAAAGTGCGTGACGAAAAGTAAAGTTCCCTGAGGACTCCGTGAGCACCAGAAAAGTAGAATTCTGATAGCTGAGCTGGTGGAACTATGCAAACTAACTGGCCACATAACGCTGCTGACTAGCTACTCTAACATGGATGCTATGCAGGAGGAATTTCCTAGCCTATGAGCACATGGCTCAGTTACTTAGGTGGTACACTAAACAGTCAAAGCTTGCTGAAATTTTTCCAATAAAAAACTGATTTAACAAAAACCCCATTCATGGGAATGTTTTGATAATGCTGTTGTGCTTCAAGTTTCATTCATTATCTGTATTATAAAAATCAAAATGATAGTTGAAATGAAGCACCTCAACCTTACTGAAATAAATATTTTTAGGTCACTCTTGTGTCTCCAAAATTAATTTTCTAAGTATTTCACAGGAAATGTTGACCTTTCCAGATGGAACAAGAGTAAATTTCAAAATAACAATTCTTGTGAAGTAGAAATTCCAAGTTCCAAGCAGCTGTAATAGAATCTAATCCAAATTCTGTTAAAGTTAATCGAACAACTCAACTTCTACGGACGCTATCCAATTTATATTTTCTCACGTTACTATTTTTATCAATGACTTTTGAGCTGTGTATTATTTGAAAAATAGATTTACCAGAGATTAGCTTTACTACAGATTTACAGTATTTTTAAATGGACTAGTCTATATGACATGAATATTAATTTTAGTGTAAATACCATATGAATTGTATACATCTGCTTGTACCTGAAGAACTTCTAAAACTCATTAACTTTCAAATTTTAACCACGTATCAAAATACTCACTTAGCATCTGCCATTACATTTATTTTTTAAAGATAATACTTAGCAATAGCTGAACTAGATTTTATGTTGTTATATATTGATTAAAAAAGCACCTGAACATTGGATTGTTGATTTCTCTGTTCATGATCATGGCTTCAAACATAGGCCCTTCACGTACCACAAACTCTATCATTCGATGAATCAATGCGAGCAAATTCCTACAACAACAACACAGTTAAAGAAAAATTGATTCAAACCTAACATTATAAAAACTACACTTCACCTAAAATACTATATCTGTGCAGGAGATTATTTTGCTGTACTGTTAAAAAAACTGTATAAAAGATAAGGTAACAGAGCAATGTTATAGCTTTGCGTTGTGAATATAGGCATTATAAAATAAAAACATGCCTGATTATGGTGGAGTGTGCATTTTCTAAGTGAAAATATTATTTCTAAATTTCAACAAGCTGACTTGCAGTCATGAGTTTTGCCTTAATAAAAACTACTTTAATAGTACTCATCAAGAAAAATGGGCAAATGAACATAAAGTGTGGTCTCAGTTAGTTAACAGAACACAATCCCTAAACTAATTTTGTGCAGTTGTATCAAAAAAAATTAATCCAGCTTCTGCACAGTCAACTACATGAAAGCTGAACTCAAAATTTAAAAAAACGCATGATAATTTTAAAAGATTTAATAGAAACTCCATCCAGCTTTATCGCTGAATAAATGCAAAAGAAAAACCAAAATAACTGATGTTGCAAACCATGCATCAAGTTTCCCGAGTCAGAAACCAGATGGAGATTTTATTAAAGCAAGCCACTGAAGAGGCAACATCCTTTTGATCAAACCTTAAAATGGATGCCATTGGAACAACACTATACATCATTTACGAAAGCATACCAGATAACTTTTCTTTCATTTTATAACTACCTAAACTTAAACCAAATGACATTTCCAAAAATTAAAAAAGCTACACCAATTTTGTTCTGCACAACATTCAGAGAAGCGTGTCAGAAAAACGTTTTGGATTGCATTTGAAAATGTAGATCCACTTAAAGAGTGGTAAAACAAATACTAACTTATTCTCAGAAAATATTCATCATCTTTAATTGACCTTCTGTGGAATATACTACTATTACAGGCAAAAATGATTTTACATTGTGAAAGAGGATCCTAAATTTTCAAATACCATTCACAGCTACACAGTATAAGAAAGCTCTGAGGCCTACAATTTTAGCATGTAATGCAAGCAAAACAAGTGCAGCTTTTACCCCATAAATTATCTAAACACAACAAAAGGATATTGGCTCTTTGAATACGTAAATTTATATTTTAATGATTTTAAAACAAGTTATAACTCTGAATGCATTATAATTTAGATTTATTTTTAATTGTTCATAAAAGATACAGGAAAAAATCATTTGTAACCACATAACAAAGTGCATATATGATCACTAGGTGATGGTTATTTTATTTTTTTACCATCTTATCTATTCAAAGTTCTGTCACAGATAAAAAGTGCTTAACTGGATTGTTTTTTCCTACAAAACTAAAAACTAATAAAAAGAAATTTAAGACTCAAGTAACAGAATATGCCCCTATAGCCTTAATAATTTGTAAACAGTCTGTATAACTTGCATATTAGCACTAAAACTACATTTCCTCCAAATATTACAGAAAAGACCAACAGTATCACTCAGTTTAAGTCCTTCCCAAAACTCAGTTTTACAGAAGCCCTTTTTGACAATCCTGGAAACATCTGCAGAAGACAATCAAAATAATTCTGCAGCCATTTCATTTAGTGCAGTGTTCTGGAAGTCCAGGTAGCACTACTTAAGTATGTGCAAACTGCATTTGAAAATACCAGTACAGTAAAATTACAATGATGCTGATAAATTCACAGATTTTAAGTCTAGCCCAAAGTGACAGCTTCTTGCTTAATATCCTATATACCGCAACCACAGAACTTCATTCAGTAATGCCTCCAACAAGTCTGATACAAAGCGTGGTTGAGCAAAAGGCATCTTTCTTAGGATGATATAAAGTTTTTAAATAAGTCTGGATACAAAAAAACCACCACCCCTCTCAAATCTATTACACCCCTCAACTGATAGAGGTGAACATAGCAATTTTAGCATGTACAAAAGCACTGAATACTTTAAAATTAGTTTATTTAAGGAGAATACTGATTATAAAACAGGAAAAAAAATCATTAAACTAGAAAATAAGTAGCACTAGAAAATAAGTGCTACTAGAAAATAACAGGAAGGAAAGATTTTATATTCTCGTACCTTGATTCTGTAGACATTTTACACATCACTATATAGCATCACTGCAATTAAGCATCTATCTTAAATTTTTGCCCTATACTGTGCTTTCCCATCAATTTTACTAAAACTACAACAAGTACGTTATCAGCAAAGAGATAATATGTTTAAAGCTATTTTCAAATACAGTTCAGTTCATGCAAGGGGTAGAAATAGTATGTGAACTTTCAAAATGCTGCAATAAATTAAATGGTAACATAGCTTTCTTTGAAAGCTACAAACTACAGACATTCCATAGTTTAAAAAAGAAATACTTGCTATACTAACCAAAAGACCTTACTAGGTAAATTCCTGGTGGTCACTATAGCTATCCCACATCCCTAGTCAGCAAAAAGTTGTACCATCCTGAAATTCTATCAAAATTACAGATGCATCTGTGCATACTAGAAAAAGTGTTCAATACTACTGCCTTAAGCTACTTATACAAATGCCTTTTTACAAAAAAAGGGGGCTATTTTATGACAATTAAAACAGTGTAGTACAAAAGGATGAGTTTAAAGTGCATTATTAAAAAAGTTAATTATCTTAAGTTGGCCAACAAAAAAAAAAAAAAGTCTTTCAGTTATAACAAAACCACATTTATTGGAGCCGATCGTACCAATGTCTGGTCAAAAACTGTATACTTTCCCAATCCATCCCATGATGTTTTCCTGGTCCCCCGCTGCCGCAGACAGTTCAGCTGGTGTTGCTCACCAAGGCCAATGTCAAAGAGAATTTGGTAGTCTTTCGTGCTCATTTATTTTTATAACAGTGTTGTGTTCTTATGTTTGGAAAAAGGTTTTAGCTTAACTGAGCAAGGGTATGCCTATATTAGTGAGAAGATAGAGGCACTTCTATAGGTCAAAATAAAATACTTCTTACTGCTGTTTGTGATCTATAAGAGCCCTTTCCCAGTGATCACATAACTAGCTGACAGCTGTGCTACTTGCATTTAAAATAAATAAATAAATAAGAACAGAGGAGAAAATAAAAAGAATTTGAAGGTGATTTTGTTTATATGCTCAACTGAATCAGGGTTTTGAGTTTAATCTATGTAATCCAGAGAAGAAAGCAATATCACATTAGTTACAGCAATGTTGCAGCTCTAAAAATATTCAGTTGTTAACAAATTGTCATGAAGGTTAAATCTTTCCTTAGATAAGGGTTCATTAATGAAATAACTAGCATTCATTTTGCAACTGATAATCATATTATTCTATTCTTCTCCAACAAAAATTGCTGAGATAAATATAAAATACAGGCTATGAAAAATTAAATTCTGCTATAAGGAATATGGTAGAACCATTGCTCAGTCAAGCCATTACCTTTTCCTCAACATCACAATTTTTCTTTAAAATTCCGAAGGGGATATTTTCTATATTTAGATGAGTAATAATAAAGAAAAACATGTACCTTTCTGTTGGGATAACCACTTTGACTATGGCTTGCGACAGAGTCTGTATATGAAGTCACATCAGATAATAAACATAGAATATGTGAGTATTGTTAACAAGTAACAAGCAAAAATATACATATGCATTGAAAATACTACACATCTATCACAAGATTTGCAGGCAATCACTGCTGTGAAGTTATAACTAAGCAAGTACACAAAAAGCAAATGGTTGTGTTCAGTGAACAATGAAGGTTCACTAATTGTAAAGTATCAGAACATTCCTGTCAGAATGCACATCAATGCACTGAATAGGTACTACACTGAGAATAATTAAGATAGGGAGTTTTAAATGTATGAAACAAATTCTAAAGTATTTGACTTGGAACTTTTTATTACTTTGTTCCCAAGCCAGTTAAAATATAACCCTATCATTTAAGTGTCATTCATTAAAGAATCAACATTTTTTTTTTTTTTTTTTTTTTACAAATGTAATATCAAGTTGGGTTGTGTTTAAAAGATACTTACCCTTCAGTTTAAAGTCATAGCTAATGTTCTTTAAAAAAAAAAATCTGAGAACTCTCACTCCACAATTATCCTCAAATAAATTATTCAATATATGAATTAGCAGCCTTCTATGCAGAAAAAGTGTCAGCTCATTCTAGTGTAAAAATGAAGCTACCGAACTTACGCATTTTCTTTAGAGGAAATAATTTAGATACTGCAAGTTTGGCAGCTAACAAAGGGGGGGACGTAGGAGAAAAAATCCCAGGGAGCCTGGAGGGGGAAAATGATGGCCAGATTTAAAGGAATAATTAAAAAAAAACCAAGGCCCAATATACTGCAACCTAATACACTGACACAATGTCTCACAATGCAAGGTACCTTGGTTTAAGGCAAGGAACAACTCAGTTCAGACATCTTAGGGCAGCGAAAAACCAACTGAACAATGCAATTTTCTAAAGCCATTGAAAAAAAGACTATCATTGATTTTGTATTTATAATTTAGATTTGGCCCAGCGTACATTCTTAAATTACCTTCTCAAAATCCTCCTTGTTTTTTGGTGGTGGTAGCATTGGAGCATTAGGGTTCTTCAATCTCTCCCGAGGCTGAGCATTAAAAGGCAGTCCTGATGGAGGTGGTGGGAGAGTATGCTCCATCATGGAAGGTGGAATGTATATTGGATGCGGTGGAATAGGTACAGCTTTGCCCCAACCTAGCTTCATTTCAAAGGACATAATCATCTTGCCTGCAAAAGTAAAAAAATACAGTTTATAACTTACCTTTAACTTTTATTAAGTTTGGTCACTATTTTTCATTCCTATATTGCATCCACTGGATCTGTCTGCCTAAACTCAGATTACATGTTTTTACTGTTGTACATGCACTGTTACTTTAAAACTTCAGAAGTGACCACTCATGACAGCAAGTCATTTTGTAGTACACAAGTGAAAATATATATTTACATATATATTTGTTAAACTACACTTAAAACAACAACAACAATAAATGATGTACTGATGAGAGTGTCTTCCCTTCACGTATCTAATTACATAAAAGCACTACTCAAGTCTTTTTGTTATGGGGTCTTCACTTAGCAGATTTTTCTCTCCTAAACTTGCTAGCATTACAGTATAATATTTACACATCAAGGCTAATTCATCAAATTTATTTGATTCAAATCACACTGATCAAATTTTCATGCATGTTACATTAGATCTAGACTACACTAGAGTTTTGTTGGTATAAACATAATTCTTAAAAAATAAGTAAATAAAATATATTACCCCCCTGATATAGTAGATATATAACATCTACTATATCAGGCTTGTCCAACATGCGGCCCGCCAAGGCATTTTCTGAGGCCCCCGGTGCTGCGACGGGAAACTTACTTTCATTTCCACCCCTTGTCCCTCCCCCAGCCCCTCAGCAGCTTCCTAATGGCTGCTGAAGGGCTGGGGAAGGGACAAGGTTCCCATACGCAGCGTGTCAGTTTGACATTGCTGACACAGCGCATGCAGGAAGAGGAATAGCCATGTGCCTCTCAGGACAGAATGAGCCCAGCTGGAGCAGCAGAGGCTCAGCTGCATTTTCCCCCTACCCGCACCGGTCAGTCGCAAGCAACACACAGCTCCACAGCCGCCTCTGCTGGCCGGTGCCGACCCAGGCGGGTCTGTCCCATGCAGAGCAGCATGCGGCAGAAGCCGGCTTCCCATGTGCTGCTGGGGATGGGAGGAGCCCGGCCAGGTCGACACCAGCCAGCAGAAGCGGCAGCAGAGCCACGTGCCGCTTGGGACTGACCAGTGCAGGTAGGGGGAAAATGCAGCTGAGCCCCTGCCACTCCGGCTGGTCTCGTCCCGTCCCATCCCAAGCGGCACATGGTTCTGCCGCCACTTCTGCTGGCCGGTGCAGACCCAGCCAGCCTCCTCCCATCCCCACCAGCACGTAGGAAGCCAGCACGAGGGGCAGGGGCCAGCAGGCAGGGTCCTGGCATGACCTCCGTGGGGCGAGGCGGCAAGAGCTGGTGCCTGCCGGACCCCGCGCTCCAGGCTCACAGCGCTGAGGCCACCGGGGCTGCGTGCACAGGTGGCCGGGCACCACAGTGAGCAGGGTCCTGTGGGTGGGCAGGTGAAGGGCTGCGGTGCAGTAGCCACCTTGTTCCAGCCCCTGTGTGGAGCTATTTATTTCTCCCCTTTAGTCTCTGGGGCAGTAGCTGGCTGGATGCAGAATGGGTCCCTCCTGCTCCTGCTCACCAGCAGCTACCATGAACCTTGCAGTAACAGGCAGGTGCAGTAGGGCTGCACAGGCAGGGTCTCTGTGGCCCGGGCCAGAGGGTGTTTGAATATGGCTTGCTGGCCCACTGGGTGATAAAAAGTTCATGATCTGGCCCCACATTCAAAAAGGTTGGACACCCCTGTACTATATCAACAGAATTTTTAAATATAGACAGTGCTTCATGTTGCACTACTGTATCAAACCTAGCCAATTCCTTATTAATTACTGTAATTCCTTATTAAAGACTGGTTTCCACTCTCAAGGAAATGGAAGCCATTATGACTGAAACACCATTTAAAAGTTAGTCAAGTTGTACAAGCAAGTAAAAATAAAATATGGCAGGTTTTCAAGTTTTTCCTAAAACATGCCTTTTCCATTGCTTCAACTAAAGAAACTTAACTCCAAAATTTAGGTTCCAAGCCTCCCCCAATAAAAATAATGAAATTTAAAATCTTGTTTACCATTTAGATTCTTCAGTGCTCGTTCAGCATCTCTCCTGCTCATAAAGGCAACAAAGCCACAATTTCTCTCTCTCGCTCGTTCTTCATCAGTTCTTGGCCACATAATTTTAACACTTGCTAATGGTCCAAAGCGTCCAAATTCTTGGCACAACATCTCTTCATTCATCTACAAAAAAAGGAAACTAAAATTAGCAGGCAACTTCAGTTTTAACAAGGCCCCTAACCACCCTGTATCCAACTGCTAAGATATTGTGTCTCTCTCTATTCCCTGGGAAACAGGGGACTACAAATATATCTGGAGGGACAGCAAGGGAGCAGTACTTCTTATAGAGATCAATCTACAAGAACGTTCTCATAAAATACAAATGGCCTAGGCTTCAAACAGACATTAATTTCTACCAGAAGGCAGTCCATGAGACACGTGGGTGGAGAGTTTCACAGGAAAACTCTCCAGCCAGGAAGCACTAGAGGGCTGCTCTTTGAACCACCCCTGCCCTTAAAAGAGCCCATGAATTGATAGCCTGCCATTTACTCTGCCTGCAGAGAGTAGAAGGGGGAATTCTCCCAAGGTGGAAACCCTCTCAGTTCTCCCTCTGCAGGAGAACAGCTTTACTCCTTGCCCTGTTCTGGGCTGACCAAGAGCACAGAGAAGGCAGGCAGAGCCCTCAGGTACTACAGTAAGACTCCACAAGCCTCGCCTCAGGGCCGTGGCAGCTGACCCAGAGTAGTGCAGAACAAGATGGTGGCAAGGCTCCTAAATCCTGTTCCCAACAGCCAGCTCTTATATCACCAACCCACTGCTGAGCTGGGGGATGAGGAGAAGCTACCAGGAGCCAGTACAGCCCCCTGCCTCTTCCCAAAACCAGGGACTGCCCGAATTGGTTAAGAGGCAGGAAGCAGTGACTGCTCTCCTCAGCTCCTGGTCTACAGGGAGGGAAGGGGAGGGGAGAGCAAGAGCTGTCCCCTGTCCCTTCTCATGAGTGGGGTGACCCGTTTCCAGAAGGCACAGGAGCCTGTCCCCTGGCTCTATTCCTCCTGATCTCCAGGAGTTAAATCTAGAAGAAAATGTAGAAATGTTCCATCTCTCAGAAGAAAGTGTCCCAGAAGCAATTTAATGCTGGTTATTCCAGGGTATTTTTCTCCTGAAGAGGACATTTCTGCTCCAGGAGAAAGAGCCTGAACATTCTCCCAGTGGAATTATCTCAGTGGAAAAAATGAATGTCTGTACATTGCCCTATTCTAACCAAAGAACACTCAGGCTTCAGCTTTTCTGGCAAGAAGACTGGTCTTTTGATGAAGGTTGCCTCCAGAAATTTATAAACTCAGCTTGGCTCTCTAGATGACTTCTGCATTTATACAAGTAAACAGAAATCTAGAATACAACAACTGTGTGGAGAATATGTAACTATAATAATGACCAGGTTATTTGGGTAAATCTAATATCTTTTATTAGAACAACTCAAATAGTTGGAAAAATTATTCTTTGCTTTTGGGTACAGATACCCTTTGTCAGGCTGAGGAAGCGTCTGCAGTTGGTCTGTGCTCTTCCTGGATGGAACAGTATATTAAAGCAGCCAGAGGCTGCAAGAAAGCCAGCCAGTGAAAATGTAAATTGAAGTAGTCAATGGATTAGAGAGGGGTGGAAGCTGGGGGAAGGGGAAATGAATTTAACAGTAGTCCTTAAGCCAACATGGCTACAACCTACACCCCTAAATCGTAGTTTCTTCATACAGAAAACTCATGAAAATTAATTCATGAGAGTGCGTGCTTAGTAAATCTGTAAATAACACGCAATTATGTGGAGTTGCAAACACTCTGATAGGCAGAGCTAGGATAGACTGGAGGATAGACTAGAGAAGTAGTCTACAATCAATGAGATGAAATTCAACAAGGACCAGTGCAAAGTCTTGCACTTGGGATGTAATAACTGCATGCACAAATACAGTACTATAGAAAAGGACCTGAGGATTCCAGTGCCTGAGACTTCAGCAGAGGAAATGTAGGTTGAGTTAGGCTGATTATAAGGTTGTCAAACACTGGAACAGGCTACCCAGAAAAGTTGCTGAATCTCTAACCCTGGAAATTTTCAAGAGCTGGTTAGACAGACCCTGGGCTTGGATGGTTTAAGCAGAGATGATCCTGCCTTGAACAAGGGCTGGACTAGATGACCTCACAAGGTCCTGTCTAGCCCTACTTTCCTATGAGCTTAACTAGATACAATATAACTGCTGCTTTTAGTAATTGATTATATCCAACGTTACCTGAGGATTAATGTTTCCAAGGTACAAATTGGTTGTACTTGGATCCCCAACATCATGCGATCCTGGTGCATAATCATCCAACACTATAATGAGGAGAAAAAGATTATAATCCAAAGCAGAAATTTAAAAGACAATATTCTACTAAATAAAAAAAAGGAATTTATATTACCACCAGATGATCTGTTTCTTCTTGAAGGAGCATCCACTAAACAAAAGAATACACAATTTAGTCTACAGATTTTATAAAACAAAAAAACATGATAAAATAATAACAACTTACTTGAACGACGCTGGCCATCTGAATCCGACTGAGGTGGCTCAAAACGACTTAATCTACCTTTTGTTTTGTGTCTTTCATCACGCTCCTCCTGAATTCTACAAAAACAAATATTAATAGAAATTAACTATATTTCCAACAAAGATTTTTAAAATCACTTCAGAATTGAGTCTAGGAATATATCCTAGTATTAAATTTATTGTTAGTTAAAAACTATCAAAATACCATATTTACTTGAATATAAGATGACCCAGAATAATTCAATTCTATATAGGGAAAATATACTATTTTGTTAAAAATTTCCAGATATAAAATCAAATTATTAGAGGTTTCCCTTGAATCTGTCCCCCTCCCACTACCTACAGCAGGGAAAATAAATCTGAGGGGTCAGGCAGACCCAGTGTTCGCTGCCCCCTGCCACTCCTCTCCCTGCAAATTCTTCCCCCTGCAGCCCCTTTCCAACCTCCTTATTATCAGACTTTGCTATGCCTGAGTACATGGAAGTGAGGAGGCAAATCTGAAAACACCAACGTTAAATTAACATATCCATAAACATTTTTATAAAATTACTAAAAGTATCCATAGGCTTCGTTCATCCAAAATTGATGCATTTTGCCTTTTTTTAAACTGCTGCAAGTTTTAGCACAGGTACTCCATAAATACACTGTTAAACAGCACTTTTGCATCTACTTTTATATAGCGCAAACTATTCATAATATTAGTCCAAAGCCAAAAGGTCCATGATTTGCCATATAGTTTTGGGCTGGGCCCAACATGGTCAACAGTATTTCAAACCATGATGACCCCACAGTTCTGTACTGCCCAATACGTGTGTATACTGCAGATACTCCAATAAAGGATCCATGTGCTAATTAACCCCAACTCATGGCTGAAACCAGGTGTTCTTGTCACAAGTCCTGGGATCCTCCAAAATGTATGCGCAGATGAGGGGCAGGGCAACCTGGTCTGGCTCCACCTCATGGCAGGCAGGGCCACACTAATCATATGTGAGACAGGCTGAGCAAAGGGACAATAGAGGGATTCTGAGTGAACTGTTTATGACCCTGTTTGGTGATGTTTGCCAGACATTTAAGGCTGGTAAAGAAACAGGAATCATTGAAAATCGGAAAGAAAGGCACAGCTCAGTTGTGGGAAAAAAGAGGAAGTAAAAATGTATTCAATGTAGTAGCTCACAATGACTTTAAAAAGAGGTGGTAGTGAGGGTGACTGTGAACTACGGGCACCACCACACACCTTATTCATGTGGGCTGTACTAACCTATCCTTGTGGTAGGTTCCTATCAGCACATCAAATTTTGATACACCAGAGAGGTGTGGGGGAAAGTCTGTTGGTTCCTCCTGGTGGTGACAGGTTTCAGAAACCTGACCAGGAAAGCGGTTCTCTACAGGTACTGGACCAGACAGCAAGGGATCCCGACAGCTCACTTCAATCCGTTCATATTGAGGGAGTGCTCAAAAGCCCCCATGGCTCGCCAAAACCATCCAGAAATGTCTCAAAGCCAAAAAGGAGGTGTACACCCAATGGAAGGGAGGAGCCATCACCAAGGAGGATTATAACTCCATTGCTTGAGATTGTAGGGGGGCTGTAAGGAAGGTTAAGGCAGAGACGGAACTGGGACTAGCAACCTGGATCAAGGATAACAAGAAGTCCTTTTTCAAATACATAGGGGGTAAAAAGAAGGTACCGAGTACTGTGAGGCCTCTGCAGGACACGCTTGGAAGTCTGGTGGTCACACCAGACAACAAAGCTAATCTCTTTAACAGATTATTTGCTTCCATTGTTCTGAGCAGGGACAGGGACATCCCGCCCACTGGGATCCCCGACAGACCCAGGGGAGGCGCAGCCAGGCCCAGGGTCAGTGAGGACCTAGTCAGAGAACCGCTGGAGGGGCTAGACATGTTCAAATCAGCAAGCCCAGATGATCTCCACCCCAGAGCGCTGCGGGAATTGGCAGAGGTCATTGCAGGACCCCGGCACAGCTTTATGAGCACTTGGGGTGCTCTGGTGAGGTGCCTGACTAGAAAAGGGCCAATGTGGTCCCAATTTTCAAAAAAAGGGAGGAAAGAGGACCCAAAAAACTATAGGCCCATTAGTCTTACCTCGGGCCTGGGAAACCTCTTTGAGAAAATTATCCAGGAGCACATCTGCAAGGGACCAGCAGGGGAGATTATGCTTAGGAGCAATCAATATGGGTTCATTAAAGGCAGATTTTGTCAGACCAATCTGGTTGCCTTCTACGACCAGGTCACAATCCTTGGACGCAGGTGTCACAGTGAATGTAGTCTTTCTGGACTTTAGGAAGGCCTTCAACACTGTCTCTCACCCCATTCTCTTTAAAAAATTAGGCGACTGGTGTGGACGCCTACAGTCAGATGGGTCACAAACTGCCCGGAGGGCCGCACCTGGAGAGTGGTAGTGGACAGGTCATTTTCAACCTGGAGGGATGTGGGTAGTGGGGTTCCCCAGGGCTCGGTCCTCGGGTCCGCACTGTTCAACATCTTCATCAGTGACTTGGATGAGGGGGTGAAAAGCACCTTGTTCAAATTTACAGATGACACTAAGATGTGGGGAGAAGCGGGCATGCTAGAAGAGAGGGACAGACTACAACTAGATCTCGACAGGTTACAGAGGTGGGCGGATGAGAATAGGATGGGTTTCAATATGGTCAAGTACAAGGGACTGCACCTGGGGAGGAAGAACCAGCAACAAACCTACAGGCTGGGAAACTCCGTTCTTGTCAGCACAGAGGCAGAAGAGGATCTCAGAGTCACTACTGATTCCAAGATGAACATAGGCCGCCAACGTAGGGATGCGGTCAGGAAGGCCAACCGCACCTCGCCATGCACCCACAGATGCATCACGAGCAGGTCCAAGGAGGTGATCCTCCCACTCTATACAACCTTGGTCAGGCCGCAGTTGGAGTACTGCATCCAGTTCTGGGCACCGCACTTCAGAAGGGATATGGACAGCATCGACGGTCCAGACAAGGCCCACTCACATGATCAGGGGGGTGCAGGGTAGGCCCTACAAAGAGAGACTACCGGACCTGAACCTGTTCAGCCTCCACAAGAGAAGGCTGAGAGGGGATCTGGTGGCCATCCACAAACTGGCCAAGGGGGACCAACAGGCAATGGGAGATTCTCTGTTCCCCCAAGCACTACCGGGAGTAACAAGGAATAATGGCTGTAAGTTGACTGAGAGTAAATTCAGGCTAGACATCAGGAGGCACTACTTCGCAGTCAGGGCAGCCAGGAGCTGGAACCAACTTGCAAGGGAAGTGGTGCACGCTCCTACCCTGGGGGTCTTTAAAAAGAGGCTTGAAATTCACCTGGCCAGGGTCATTTGACCCCAGCATCCTTTCCTGCCCATGGCAGGGGGTCGGACTTGATGGTCTGATTAGGTCCCTTCCACCCCTACCAACTATGAAACTATATCCTGCTTCAGGCATGCACTGTGGAAAGCCAGGGACCTGCTCATAAACAGACACTCAGATCCCACAATCGAGGACTGTATTAAAATGGGACTCAGTGAAAGATATACGTACTACATGAAGACAGAAGAGGATGACAGGAAAGAAATGGCAGACCTAATCTGGTGGAGGGGGGTATGCCATAGACTTTTTCAGGAATAGACCCTCTGAGGAGGGCAGTGGGTGGGGGGATGGGTATAGAAATGGGTGAGCAGGAGAACAGTGCAAACTGTGTAATGGGATTTTAGTGCGCTTTGAGCTGCCAAGGGAACCACAAGGGCCACTTTCATAGATTGTTAGGTGCTGGAAGGGACCTTGCAGATCATCAGGTCCAGCACCCCCCGGCTCTAGGCAGGAAGACCACCAGGGTTAGGTGACCCCAGCGAGGTGACTGTCTAGTCTCCTCTTGAAAACCTCCAAGGTAGCTGACTGCACCACCTCTGGAGGGAGTTTATTCCACAATCTGGGCACCCTGACTGTGAAGGAGTTCTTCCTGGTATTAAGCCTGAAGCGGCCTTCCAGGAGCTTGAATCCAGTGGTCCTGGTCTTCCCCAGGGGTGCACTAGTGAACAGTTGTTCACCGAGCTCCTAATGCACTCCTCTGATATCAAGGTAAGCCACTATCAAGTCCCCTCTCAACCTTCTCTTCATTAAGCTAAAGAGGCTCATGTCCCTCAGCCTTTCCTCATATGGCTTGCCTTGCAAGTCCCTGATTATATGGGCGGCTCTTTTCTGGACTCTCTCAAATTTTTCCACGTCCTTATTGAAGTGCGGCACCAAGAACTAGACACAGTACTCCAACTGCTGTCTCACCAGTGCCGAGTACAGCAGGAGTATCACTTCCTTAGTTTTACAAGAGAGGCATCGGTTGATGCATGCCAGTGTGTTGTCTGCCCTGCTGACCACCGCCTTGCACTGACGGCTCATATTCATACGATGGCCGATCATTACCCCTAGGTCCCTCTGGGCCGTGGTGCAAGTCAAGTTGTCACTGCCGAGCCTGTACGTATGTTGAGGGTTGTTTGCCCTCAGATGGAGCACCTTACGCTTGGAAGTGTTAAACTTCATCTGGTTCTGGTCTGCTCAACTTTGGAGTCTGTCCAGGTCTGCCTGTATCTGC